CAGTATTGACATTTTCACAATGTTAAGTCTTCCTATCCAGGAACATGGTACATTCTTCCATTTTTGTAAGTCTCTTTTGGTTTCTTGTAGTAGTGTTTTGTAGTTTTCTTTGGTTACATTTGGAATGTATATCTTTTGGTGTTAGCTTTTACCTTGTAGACCTATTATTTGGCTGAAAGTTGATCCACAGGGGTGAGTTCAGTCCCTGAGGGGCCATCATCTCATCAGACCAGTAAGCCTGGTCTTTTCAAGTTAATTTTTATGTGCAGTGAAAATTTATCCTTTTGTATTGCATTGTCTTGGAAACTTTGTAAAAGGAAACAACTGACCATATATGAGGGGGCTTCAAAAAGTTTGTGGAAACATCCCATAATCTTTTTTTTTAATTGTGAACTGAGTGGTAGTTTACATATGAGAACATTGGTTTTACACTCTTTGTGATTACAATCTCTTCTGTGCATCATCATTCAATAATATTTGCTTCTATTCCCTCTGTTTTTTGGGGGTGAAGGGGGATGTACACAAAAACACTCAGGAATATATAATCATTTAAACAACCAAAGGGCACATTCTGCAAGCCTGCCTCCGGTGTCACTGCTTCTCTGGATAGGGTCACACATTTTGCTTGTACTCTTCTCCCTTGATGCTCCTAGGGTCCTCTGTTCCTGGACTGTAAGATTAACTACTCCCCCGTTTTTGTTATAAAACTTCTACCTTTATGTTTGTGACAGTCGCAATTAGTTATGATAACAATTACTTACTATGGAATCGTAAGAATTTTATCCCCATCTCCTTTCACCAGACCCGTCTAGACAAGATGAAAATTATTCAGTGGGGATTCTTGAATAGTTGTAAACCAGATTCTTGAAAACTTATAAGCCAGTCACTTCATACCTTTTACAGCCTCCGCCCCCCACCCCGCCACCCCCAGCTCCCCCATCATTTTAGGTAAATTCCATTTTTTTCACAAACTTTTTGAAGCCCCCTTGTATATATGGGTTTATTTCTCAACTTCCTTTTCTGTTCATTGAACTATTATTAGTCTATCTTCATACCAAATCTGCACTGTCTTTATTACTGTAGCTTTGTTAAAATACTTGAAATCAGGTAGTATTAATTTTTCCAACTTTATATTTTTTCAAGTTATTATGTCCTTGTCTGCTACTTACATCACATGTGTTATTGCTAGGGCAGTTTGCTATTTCTTCTCATTACAAGCTGTATTTCCCTGCTTTCTTGCATATCTAGAATTTTTTTTATTAGCTACTTGACACTCTAAATTTTACCTTGTTAGACACTGAGTATTTTGTATTCTGTAAATATCCTTGAGCTTTCTTCTGAATTGTAGTTAAGTTTGATCTTTTTGCACATTGTTTTTAAGTTGTTGTGGGTTTTTTTTTTAAAGGCAGTACCAGAGCAGCATTTGATCGCTGGCTAATTTTTCCAAACTGCTAAGGCAAAACTCTTCTGTATATTCTACCCCATGAATTATCATAATTTCCACTCTGGCATGTAGGAGCAGAAAGTATTCCTGGCCATTTGTGAGTTCTAAGGATTGTTGCCTCTTATCCATTTAGGTCCTTTCCCCAGCTTGGGTAGTGCCTTCCTCTACAGGCTCCCCTCAGTTTCAGCTGAAGATGTCACAAGGAACCTCTGCCAACTGCCACAGCTCTCTTTGCAGTTCGCCTGGTTCTGATGCTTTTCTCTGTGAACTCTAGCTGCCTTGACCTTCCCTTACTCCAGTTCCTCTTCTCAAATTAGGAGAATCACTGCGCTCTGCCTGGGGCCCCATGAGGCCCAGTCACTCTCTCTAGGCCATAAGCTGGGGCAATTGTAGGACTTGCTTCCTTTGTTTATCTTTTCTCAGGGAGCCTTCATGGTCTAATGTCTAAAGTCTTAATAACAAACATGATTTCCTATACTTTGTGTGTTTTTCCTTTATGTAGTTTCAGGTGGGATGATAAATCTAGTTTCTATTATTCTACCTCACTCATCTAGGTGTGGATGTGTGAGTTATCCTAATTTTTAAGTATAAAAATATCCCCTCAAATTCTGAGAAAAAAATCGAGACAGATATGTTAATGGAGAAGGGTATAAGAAGAGTGACTCACAACAAGACCAAAACCATCTTTAGGAATAAAAGGCTTGGTGCTATTTCCAACTCTGAAATTTCTGTATGAGAAATTTAAAAAATAAACAAGCAAATACCCTGAGAATCAGGTAGAATATCACCCATCCTCTACTTTCAGAACTTAAAGGAATTGTGAGGTCAACAGATGCTCTGATGTATTTGGGGTCACATTGCTAACACTTGGCAGGTGTGAAACTCAGGATTAGATCTATAGATGCTCTATCCCAGATAGTGTCTGATAGTCATGCTAAATTATTTCATAATTAATTTCTATAAAGCAACTGTTGTTAAGTATTGTCAAGCCGGTTCCGACTCATAGTGACCCTGTACAGGGTTTCCATGGTGAGTTTGAAACTGCTGACCTTGTGATTCGAGCTTATCCTACAGCGCCACACCAGGACTCCATAAAGTAACTTGAACTGACAAATGAGAGGATTCTCTAGCATTTGTTTTACATGATCAGAAAGTACATTTGCAGTAGTGGCACTTTGGAGTCCTCAGCTCCACGCACTTATCTCTAACCAATTCCCAGTCAACCTTTGCGTCTGATGCAGAGACAAGGTTTTCTCCTGATGATCCAGGGTTCGGGAGATGCGATTTCATGTCATTCGATTTTTTTCCTGTTCTGACAGGTACTCACTTCAGACTCTCCACCAGGCACACAAACTTTGAAGAGAGAGTTTATGAAGTCTCAATGCGCATTAATGATGGGGGTAAGCCACTCATGGAAAGGCAGATCTCTTTACCAAGTAGGTATTTTACTGCAGGCAATTTAACATGATCTCTGACACCATTCTTGTATTTGATGTGGGATTATACAAGTATTCACTTAAAAATTACACTACTAAATACTCTTCTGCTTTCCAGTTACTTTCTGCAAATGTGTAGATGGAAGTTGTTTCCGGCCAGCAGATCATCAGAGTGGGATGCCAACTGTGGGTATGGCAGTTGGTATTATCCTGACCACCTTGTTGGTCATTGGTGAGTATAATTTCTCCGATTCAAGGATTCCTGTCCTCAGAAACATGCACTAGCCTCAGAGTCTGAAAACTGAGGCAATAGCCAAATATATAGATCCTCAGTAACCAATGTTCCTGGTTGGGAGATACTCCTTTAGTTCCATCATCTACCCAGCATCACCTTATTGGTTAAATGGGAAATATAAGATGCATATATTTTTATATATAAAATATATTAAAGCATAGATTATTAACTATTAGACCAAGTTTTCAATGATGAAGGAGAAGAACATGCAGTATCTGCTCCCTTGCTGTGTCAGGCAGAGTACTTGATTTTGGCATATAGTGATGGGCCAGACATACACAGATTCTGCACTCAGAGAGTTAAATATTCTAGTCTGGCATTGTTGGAAGAGGTGGAAGTTAGCCTTGCATTGCATAGCTGGACAGTTGTGGGCTTTTCTTCTGTTTATTTCCATACTGTGGACCCTGATTCTTTATGACTTCAGAATAACTCCCCAGAACAACAGCTAGGACTCTTCCTTGGCTCTGACTTGGGAAGACAGCAGAGTCTCCTGTTCTGTTTCATTTTCTGTGGGCTAACTCAGTGTTTACTCTAGTAATTACTCTCTCTTTTTACTGTTGTGCTCCTCACTACCAGTTAAAGACTGGAAATACATAATTCATTAATTCATGTGTCCTGGGTGAAGACTTTGGGATATATAGGAATAGAACTAAAAAGAATTACATAGTTTCACATCTCTTCTCTTTTAAAAGAACGGTGGTGGTGGTGATTGTATGCCATGGAGTCGGTTCCGACTCATAGCGATCCTGTACAGGGTTTCTGAGGCTGTAAATCTTTACAGGAGTAGAAAGCTTCATCTTGCTCCCATAGCACAGCTGGTAGTTTTGAACTGCTGGCCTTTAGGTTAGCAGTCCAACAACTCATAACCACTACACTACCAGAGCTCCTTAAAAGAACTGTGGGGTTTTTCTAAATTGTCTTAATTATTTTAGCTGTATCTCTTCTTTCTTTTCCTACCATCCACGCTATAACACTGGACTCTGATTCAGAGGTCTACAGGGATCTCATTTCTGTCTGCCTGTCAGTGACACGGAAAGCCCTTCAATTGCATGTCCATCATCTAAACATGTGCAAGGGTGACCATCCTATCTGCTTGGTGCACATCTTTCATGAGATCTCTGCACTTTTTCTGGCCCAATTTACCATCCTACATTGAAAGAATTTTTGAGTTTATACATCAAAGAGCATTTTCTAACAGAACCATTTAATCCCATAAATGCACCACAAGTTAAAGTTGGAAGAGTTTGAGGATATATAGAAATAGAATAGGATCTTGCTTTTATATCCTTAAGCACTGTACTGCTAACTGCAAGATCAGTAGTTCAAACACACCAGCCGCTTCTAAGAAACAAACCCTATACAGCGTCACTGTGAGTCAGAACTGACTCAATAGCAACATCAGCAGCTCTTTTAAAAAATTTGGGTTGCAGTTATTATAAGATGCATAACGGGTCTCTGAGTTTCTAGTCTTTTCTGCCATAGTTCCTCCTATAAAGTTACTGCAGATTGATTTTTTTAAAAAAAACTACTCCCTTTTTCTTATTGGTTTTTGATTTATAGCCTGCATTGAATGCTCAGATACACAATGTAATTCTATAGGAGTTCAGAAATGGGAGAAACCATAAAGGTTTCTATTCAAATTCTCTCAACAACATAGGCTGGAGTTACACAAAAGGTACCAAAGAAAATGTGATAGTTGGTGTGGACCCAAGAAAAGTAGGTTTTAGGTAGGTGAGCAAGTCACCTACACCTGGTTGTTGTGATTAGATTGTTTCCTCTGGGAAGGGGAAGAAGGACTGAAATCAATCAGCATTTATTTAGTGCATACAAATTTCAAGAGTTTCGTCAGGTGTTTACATGCTTATTTAGTCCTTAGACTAGGTATGACATTAGGTCATAGATTCCTTGAAAGAGATCTAGTGACCATTACCAGGTTTGTTATTGTTGCTAAGCACCGTTGAATCAGCTCTGACTCATAGCGACCCTGTACAGCGTTTCCGAGGAGTGGCTGGTGAGTTTGAACCGCTGACCTTGTGGTTAGTAGTCTAGTGCTTATCAGACAGCACCACACTAGGTTTCCAGATATGATTTGTTGCTTGGTAAATACTTACTAAAAATAGATAAGTGGTAAATTCACTTGACCAAGAAAGCAAATATCTGGGCTTTCTTACTAGGGTAACAAATAACAAAAGAGTAATAAAACTTTGTTGAATCACAAACAAAAATGAAGTTGTCTAAGTTATTTTTCTACCATAATATTACTTTATAAATGAATATATAATGTTTTATATTCCATCTATTTGACCATGAATTTTCTCTTTTAGGTATTATTTTGGCAGTTGTATTTATTCGTTTGAAGAATAAAGACAAAGTTACTGAGATTGCTCAGCCATCTGAAGTCAGAGCTTTAAACAAATGAATTTGGAAAGGAATACTTGAATTTATGTAACAAATAGCATGTCAGTAGCACAACCATTTCATCTCATTTTACTTTTCCTCCAACATGTGTGTATAATTTTTTACAGATTTCCCCTTTGCCCTCTAATATTTTACTCCTAGATATTTCATGTGTTCTACCATTATTTTCCATTTTCCCATGATAGTTTTCCCCTCTGTAAAACTATTAGATATTTATCCCAAAACAAGAAGGTATGTATGTTTCTCCTTTAAGGAAATATAAGATGATTAAATATTCTACACATTTTTTCTTGGTTTATCAGTTATCCATTACAGAACTTCCTGGATCTCATTTGTGCTTTTCCCCCCACCCCTGCCATTCTAACCATGCCCCACGCATCTATGTTTCCCTTGATATTTCTTCAATTTAGAAACATTTGTCAGGGGAAAAGAGCAAAGTGAGGACTCAGGGGAAAACAGGCAGTCTTCTTTAGTTCAGATAAAATCTGTTCTGTATTGTTAGTAGCTCTCTTTAACTCATTGTGGCTCACCATATGTTGTGCAATGTGGTTCTTCTAGCCACAGTCATTGTAACTCCCATAAAATGACTCTCTCCCGATGGATCTGGGCAGGTGGAGGTGGAGAAGATACTGATATGATTCTGTGATTCAGTTGTGATTGTTAACTGGGTTAATTGTGATTGTAAACACTTGGAACTCTAATGTGAGGATTGGTCAGTTTTGCCATCCTATTGGGTAGTAAAAGGTGTCATCTCAGAAACAGAAAGAGGTGAACTCACTACCATCAAGAAAGAAGAGTCAGAAGTGCCATGTGTCAAGATCCTTGTGCATTGAACCTCTTTGATCCACAGTCAGAAAGCCATGACATCAGAGAAGCAGCAGAGGAACGGCAGAGGAACTAAAAGCCGGCGCACAAAGACAGAGTGGTGGGTGGGCTTCCTGGACCATGGAATGAGTAAAGCTGAGTCTTCATGTAGGAGACTAACTTGTGAAGTGGGGTGCCTTCAGGCACTTACTCTGGGGAACTAGGTTTGCTGACCAATGGAGCCTGAGCTGAGTACCTTCAGGCTGAAGCTCATAGCATAGTAGAGTGTCTGGCCCTTTGGACATTTATTGGCAGCTCTAAAAAAGCTTTGTGGTATATTGATCAAGCAGGGCAGAGGCCAGGCCAAAGGTAGATGTGCCTGCGGGCATAGCTGAGAAACGCGCTGCATATTTAAGAGCTGTATCCTTCACATTTCTGATCCTGAAATGTAACCTAATAAACCCTAATAAACCCCATCGTTGTAAGTATGGGTTGTGAGTTCTGTATGCCCATTGCAATGAATTATTGAACCCAGCCAAGAAGCAAGAGTACTGGGAGAGGAACGACTGCTATCAAACGTGATCAGAAGGTTAGAGGGTGGAGGTGTGTCTGAGCTCTGCCTCATAGGAATCAGCCTTGGGCTGATGATAAGTTTGATTCTCCTCTTCCCCACTTGTGAATTTAGAGGAGGTAAGACACTGCTTCCTTGTCAGTTTTTACACCATGCCACTCCAACTGACATCCTTTTTTTAAACTTGGCAATGACACAGACCCATAAGTTATTCAAACATGCAGAGGCTCATTTCATAAATCTTGGTGTAGAAACCTAACAACTGACCAGGTTTACTCACTACCTAAGGAGCTCTGGTAGCGTAGTGTTTACGAGTCGGGTTGCTAACCTCAAGGTCAGCAGTTCAAAACTACCAGCTGTTCCATGGGAGAAAGATGAGGCTTTCTGCTTCAGTAAAGATTTACAGCCCCGGAAACCTTGTACAGGGTCACTATGAGTTGGAACCAACTCCACGGCACATAACGATGACAACCATGCTGTGCATGTTTTCTTTATGTGAATATTACTCAAGTTTTGGTTATTAAGTATTTAATGTATGGAGAGAAATGAGGATGCATGAAAGAAATATGGATAAAAATAAAGAATAAAGTTCAGTTGTGGTTGTGGCTATGGTTCCTAGTTATATTTATTTGTTGAGAGGGAGGACTAACAGTGGTTACTGATCATTTATCAAATTTGCTTCTCAGGTTAATTAGCCCAAGGAGAGGAGTCTATCTAAAATAAAATAAAAATTCACTGCTGACATGACTGTGTGTGGAAGTCAAATTTTTAAATTTTAAGTAAAAGAACCTTGGTGATTTGGAAGTCTTTCTAGTCCCAGAATTTTTGTCTGGCTCCTGATTTGAGTATTCAGCATCACACAACCGCCCAGAATTTTCAACCATGAAAAAAAGTTCTTATGTGTGTTTTTAACCTAGAAGTGATTATGATGGGACATTTGTTGTTAAGTGTTGTCGATTCGATTCAGACTCATAGCAACTCTGTATAGGGTTTCCAAGGAGCAGCCGGTGAGCTTGAACTATCGACCTTGTAGTTCAAATGACTTTGCAGTCTGATGCATTACCCCACAATGCCACACTCCATGATGGGACATTTAGATCACCTAAAATTGCTTGTCCTGCTTATTTTCAGGAAATCATTTCATTGTTACTGAAAGATGAGGCTATCCCATGGTAGGTCAACATCAGGTTTCAGGGCATCTCTATTACCTGAAGTTGAGAGTATCTTCTCGAGCAACTGCTGTCACCTGGTCACATGGAACTTATTTATCCAAAGTTGCTCATTAGGAATCATAGTACTGAGTTTCTTCTCCCTGTGAGCCCTTTCTGTCACCAGACTCATCCTTCCATGACCAAGACCTACTCATTTTTGATATCCCGGTTTAAATACTTGTACCTCTGAGAAACCTTCTCTGATCTCTTGCAGGAGACCAGTCTACTGCCTCATATAAACTTCCACCTGAGATGAGGAAAGTTGTGTACCTAGTCAGGATCCATTCCTGATTCTTTGGATATGAACAGATAGATTTCCTACTGGGAAAAACCCCCACCCCAACTCCATTCTATATAGTTTGGATAGAGACTGCCTCATTTTTCTCAATCTTCCCAGCTCTAGAGACAGCACTTTATGTCAGTGAGACTTTAGAATTTTAATTTAAACTCATAGAAAACAGCTCTCTCTACAGGGAATCTGTTAAACTAGTAGGAAGTCTGTTCAGAGCAGTCTGACACCACAAGAGGTGTGCCTGGCTCAAGAGTGAGGACAACAGAGACTCAAGAGATGGGAGGAGATGATTTCTAAGATGCTGAATACTGAATCCAGCTGTGTCTGAAGGCACCCTGCCTTGGACTTTTCCATTCTGTGAGCCAATATATTCCCTTTTTCTTAAAGCTCATTGGATTTTTTTGCTTCTTGTAACC